AATGGGCCAAATAACACTATGTTGACATATGGATCTGTAACCTCTTTGTACTACTACACAATAATAAAGGATAATTATGGAAAGAAAATAGAATAACTGGAAACATGACAGGCACCATTTTCCATTAAATATCCAATTGGGTCTCCAAGAATAAGAAAACAAAATCAGACAAGGTCTTCTGAAAATGTGATAAAACTTTATGTGATGAAAACAAAAAGTTCTATTAAAAGGTCTGGGTAGTAGTCACAGGTCCTTGGAAGGCCAAGTTATGAGGTTCAATTTAGCCCAAGTATTTCAAGAGCATCCCGATCAACATAGTAAAACCCCCTGAATTTTAAAAAAAAAGCCCATTAAATACACTATTTCATAATTTTCAACAATTTACTATTCTAACACTGATATGATAGATTCACATATTAGAAATGGAATAAGAACTCCTGGAGGGTAATGATCATACTTTAGATATTTTTGCAAAATATGTTTTTCTACTGTTAGAAGACCATTTTCCATTTTACTATGATATAACATCATATACAAACATGATGTAATGGGACTTAGATATATCAAGTAATTTATGCAAACTACATGCTCTTTTTTAGCAATCCTATCCACTGCTTTATTTTAGTATAGCCCCATCAAAACGGTGCAAAAAATCAAATGTACAAACTTAGGGTAATGATAGATTTCAGTTAGCTTATGCAATGTTTATCTCTCTCTTTTTCCCCCTCACAACCACACTCACAGAAATTATAAAAGAAAACTTTTACAACAAAATGTACCCTGACACTGAGGGCTGAGGATCTGGCTCAAAATTAGATCCTGAGTTCTGAATTGACAATAAAATCCTACCAACCAAACCAAGCCACCTGCCGAGGATGCAAATTTTAGCTAAACATTTGAAAACAGAATTAAGGGAGCAGAGAAGCCAACTGCCAAATACATGGTATTCTAATTCCTATCATTGTAGAATGCATAACCACAAACTTTTGTTATATTATTTCAACCTGGTGGCTCCTAATTTTCTATTTTCAGCTTTTTCTGATTACTGTGTTCCTTATTTCAGATAATTTATCATTATCTACAAAGAAAACTATTATAAATGGTGGTAACTTACTAAGAAAATCTGCCTATTCCTATTTTCCATTGCATTCTTTTAGTGCAACCCCTACCCTACTTCACCTAGTTTAAGTTGACTCTGAAAACACATCTGAAAAAGAAATTAGAAGAACTTCCCCCCAAGTCCACACTGCCACCCCTTATCCTAAAGATTCAACTCCTTTCCTATATCTTCTCACAGAACCTTGTGCACAATGCCATCAATAAAATATCAGTTCTCCCTCAACCACAGAACCAGTTTTTCATGGGAAAGGGCAACATCCTCTTCTTCAGTCTCTGAACTTAATCACAGAATCACGTACATGGTAAATACTCTATAAAAACGAATGAACTAAACCGTATTTTTTTTAAAAGCTTCTAGATTTTCTAACTGCATTTATAAAATTAAGTTTAGGTTTTACATTTTATACCTAAATCAGTTACTTCAAACAACAGACATTGTATAACACATTACAGAAAAACTTAAAAGGATCCTTAACACAAGAAAAACTCAAACGTCTATAGAAAATAAAATCATTTTATGAAAAAGAATTATTTTGCCACAAAATATATAATCAGAAAAAATAAAAAGCTTAAACTTCTAATAAACTTTTTCTTTTTTGGTCAGTCGTAAAGCTTGAACTCTGGGCCTGGGCGCTGTCCCTCAGCTTTTCAGCTCAAGGCTAGCACTCTACCACTTGAGCCACATTTCCACTTCGGGCTTTTTCTGCTAATGTGGTGTTGAGGAATCGAACCTAGGGCCTCATGCATGAGCGGCAAGCACTCTACCACTGAGCCACCTTCCCAGCCCCACTAATACGATATTAATCATACTTAAGATGTGATATAAATTGTATGTCTGGATATCACATACTATTTGCAACCAGAACAGAATCAAATATGCAACAACTCGCAAACAGCTTCAGAAAGAAAACTGGCAAAAGTGATATAAAACCTCTACAATTTAAGGAAGTAAATGTATATAACTATAATGAAAATAACCAGTGAGTTAAAACTTAAAATGACATATGAATGTTACCAAAATTCAATGTTAAGTCCAAAATGAAAAGGATCAGAAACTGGAAAATAAAAGTTCAAATGCACAATAAGCATCTTTTAAAATATAGTCTTTTGACATTGAAAGAAAGAATACAATCCTAAAGTGAGCTGTCTAAAGTCAGAAATTATCAAGTGTTCCAGGAGAGGTTAAACAATAAAATCAATTCTACTGTTGTATCCATACTATTTCAGCCCTTTTCCCCAAGCTTCTACCCAAAACAACAAAAACAAGCCCTGATGGCTCATACAGTGTGATCCTTGCTACTCAGGAGACTTGAGATCTGAGGATCCCCATGAGACTGTTCCTACAATTAACTACCAAAAAAATCTGGAAATGGAGATGTGCCTCAAGTAGTGGGGTATCAGATTTGAGCAGAAAAGGCCCTGAGTTCAAGCTCCCAAACCAGTAACAACAACAAAAACAAATGTAAAACAAAGTAACAGCAGCAGCACAGGTATACAAGAATTAGTGTTTTACGATTTGCAATACAATAGTTCTGTGGGAAGTTCTTCAATAATAGCTTTAGACCAAATGTTAGTGACAATTTCCTTCTGTTTATCCTTTTAAAGAACTAAAAGCACACATACACAGTAGGAGTTGAGACAGGATAATGTGAGCCCAGGAGTTCCAAGATAACGCATTTCAAAAAACAGAAACGGCCAGGAGCAGGTGGCTCTGGGCTGTAACCTAAGCTGCTCAGAAGGCTGAGATCTGGGGATTTCGCTTCAAGGCCAACAGGAAAGTCTGAGGTTCCAATTAACCACCAAAAAAAAAAAAAAAACAAAACGAAAAACAAAAAATGGAACTGTGCCTCTAGAGGTAGAGTGCTAGCCTAGAGTATGAAAGCTCGGGAAGGGAGGGCGCCTAAGCCCTGTGTTCAAGCCCGAAGACTAGCACAAAATAAGCAAATAACAAAGCCAGATCCCAGTGGCTCACTCCTGGGCTGAGATGTAAGGATCAGAGTTACTGAGGCCAGCATGGGCAGAGAAATCCAAGAGTCATCTCCCTTCACCCACCAAAAACCAGGAAGTGGAGGTGTGGCTCAAGTGGTAAAGCCTAGCCTTGAGCACAAAAAGCTCAGGGACAGCACCCAAACCCTAGTTCAAACCTTAGAAGCAGCACAAAAAGAAAAACAGAAAACAAAACAAAAACAAAAAGAAACCTACCTCCTGTGCAAAAATAGGTACCAGTTAAAGTTGTATTCTTAAAAGCAACTAACATTTAAATAATGCTTTACTCTTTTCCTACACAAATTACTTCACGATTTTTTAACTTTTTTTTTTTTTTTTTAAATCTAGGCGCTTTTACAGCCTAGTAACTGAAGCACTTGGTCTCATAAATACAAGCTAGCCAAGCTATGATTAATACCAGGCGGCACAAATTTCTTCACACAAATCTTTTATGAGTCCTGAGTTAGCTCTCATGCTGTGTTCTCCATTTTCCTTTTGCAGACCTATGAACTAGTCATTTTCTCACTGCAAATCATACACCCCCTAACTATGGAAATACAAGTTATGCTTACGATAACATTTTGCTATCCTATCATCTTGTATTTTTAAAACTCTTAAAATTATTAATAATCGATTTCCTAAACTTACAACGAAAACTATCTTTCTCAAAAATTACGAAAGCCAAGTATCGTGGTGGCACTCCTGTAAACCCAGCACCGCAGAAATGGAAGCAAGATGGTGAGTTCTGGTCCAACTTTGATTAGGTAGCCGCCCTCTTCAAAAAACAAAGCTGTCATCTCAAGTAAAACGTTCCCCTACATAGATACCCAATGAAACATCACAGTTGAACAGCTGCTTCGAATACACTGCCCAAACAGAACTTTTGCATGATTTTTCTCTATTTCTCCCTCATTTCATAAAAAGCTATGCTTGTTCTAGACCGTTTTTTTCTTCAGTTTTCCTTCTCAGTGTTTTTCACACTGAAGGTCCAGCACACCCAGGGCTGCGTTCGCTAAAAATAATCCGCGCTTGCTGGGCGCCGGTGGCTCCCGCCTGTAATGCTACTCCGGAGGCTGAGATCTGAGGATCGCCGGTTCAAAGCCAGCCCGGGCAGGAAAGTCCGTGTGGGTCTTTTTCTTTTCTTTTCTTTTCTTTTTTTTAAGAAAGAACATGTTTATTTTATTGTAGGGATGCTGTACAGAGGGGTTACAGTAAGGTCATGCGTACGTTTCCTGTCGAACACGGTTACCTCTTTTTTTTTTTTTTTCCTGCTATCCCTTCCCTCCCCAACCTACCCCACTTCTCCGCCCTCCGCGAGGGTCTGATCTCCAGAGCTCATCACAGAACAGGCCACAAATGGTGCCGAGGCTCCCGTGCAGAGCCGAAGCCTGGAGCCAAAGGAGCCAATGGACAGCGCCAAGGCCCAGAGTGCAGGCCCAGGAACCAGTAAAACCAACCAAAAAAAAAAAAAAAAGGACAAACAAAAACGCGCAGACAGCGTCGTAGGTTTTTGCCCCACCCCTTCCGTCAGTCCAAGAATCTTCCAGAAGGTCCCTCGCAAAGGGAGTCGGCCATGTTGGATTTCCTCGCCCGTGGAGATCTACTAAGTGGGCCTATGAAACGTGAGATGCGGCTGCCTGGCGTCTCGCGGAGCCCAGCGCCCGGCTGGCGGGCGGGCGCGGCCAAGGCGGAGACCTGGGAGTGGGGACGAACGAGGCCGGGGCGGGCTCCGCGACGCCCAAGCGAGCCCGGCTCTTCCTTCGCAGCGAGCGGCCGGCGGCAACGGGCGAGCGCGGCGCCCGGCCAGCGGCCTCGGACGCGCGCGGCGCCCAGCCTCCGGACTGGGAGGCAGCAGGCGAGGGGCGGGCGCTGGCGGCGGCCCAGGCTGTACTTACCAGTTCGAGGCGGGGCCTGAACTTTCCTCAGCGGAGTTCAGGAAAACCTTCCGCAGGTGATTAGACATTTTTTAGAGAGGTGGGACTGGGACGGCGAGTCCCACACAGTGGGTAGTGTAAGGGCGAGATTTGCGACCGCGCCGGGAGCAAAACGAGAGAGAGCTGCCGGCTGCACTTGATCACGCAGAAGCCGTGTGGGAGACGGCGCGGGGCGCAGGGCGGCCGCGGCCGGCGGAGTGGGCGTACCCCGCGCTTCTCCTCCCCTCCCCCCCAGCCCGGGGGCTTAACCACATTGAAACCGGAAGACTCCTTGGGACGGAGGAGGCGTCCTCCCCCCGCTCCACTGGAAGCTCACAGAATCTGGACACCCCGCCCCCTACATCTATGTAGTCGCATCTCAGCCAATTGGAGCGGGTGATGGAGGCGTGGCCTTACGACACGCTCCCTCCGCCCCGCCCCAGCAGGGCTGTGTCTGTGGTGAAGACGGCCTCCGCCTGATGCTGCCGACCCGGCCCACCGCAGCGACTCTCTCGCTTCAGCAATTTTCAGCCCTGTGGCTTTCTAATCGTCACGTCCGGAGAATGAGGTGATTGGCTGCTCAAGGCCCCGCCCTTATGATGTGGCCCAATCGCAAGTGAAGGTTGCTGTCTCTTCTTCCGGATCAAGGAATGAGTCATAATCGAAAGGTCTCCAGATGCCTACGCAAAACAAAACGGTTCCGGGGTCAATTGTGAATTTTCCTGCCTTCTGCGCTGGCGATCGGTGTCTTTGGCTCCCACTCGGGTTCCAGCGGCGTTGGCAGGCTCGCTACGCTCCTGGCCACGGGAAACTTTAGCAGTCTGGCTGTAGCTGACGGTTTTGTGTTGACACTTGTCTGAATGCGTCTGGATTTTTCTTTCCCTGAAGCTTTACTTTCTACTTTCCATTCCCGTGTTCAAGCCTCGGTTAAAACGCTCCCCTATTTACATACAGATGACTCGTTCTTTAAGGTCTCCTTCCTTATAGAACATCTTAAAATGCCATTGTTTGACCCTCCAGAGGCGAGTTTTTAGAAGTCCCCACAATCCTGTAATTAAATTACTGTCGGAGAATCAGGTGCAGTCGTCTTTAGGGAGTAGAAATTCTACTGGGGTGGAAAATATAGGGGAAAGAGTAGTTTCGAAGGTCTACTTTCGTTAGGTAATATCTGAATCAAACTGTTCCTATTCAGGAAACTGACGAAGTTGTCCATTTGAAGGTTTACTTTGGTCTTTTTATTTCTGTGTTTTAATTGGGCAAGACCAGGACTCGATCTCGCTATCTGATGCTTCCTTTCGCTCACTGGCTGGCGCGCTACTACCTGAGCTATGCCTCCAACCCTATTTTTGTCTTTTAAAAATGAGATTGATTATTTGAGTCCAGCGCCGGTGGCTCACACCTGCAAATCTAGCTACTCAGAAGGCTGAGATCTGAAGATCACGGTTCCAAAGTAGAATGGACAGACTCGTATCGCTAATTAACTACCAAAAAGCTGTGACTTAGTGGTAAATCATCAGTATTGAATGAAAACTCTTAAGGGACAGCACCCCGGCCGTTTGTTCAAATCAAAAGACTGGACACACACACACACACACACACACACACACCCCTAAAAGACTGGACACACACACACACACACACACACACACACACACACACACACCCCTAATGTTATTCATTCCCCTAATTCAATGAAGTAATACTAAAGGATGTCATGTCCTGATGTGTTAACAAATGGTATTTTTATGGTAACGTATAAAAGATTTACTTCAATTGTACAGGATCCTGTAACTGCAACTGGCATTTATCTTTCAGACACATGCCTCCCATATTTAAAAGGGATCATTAAGTGATGAGCCCTTAATATGCACCCCTAATGTTGTCTGGGCTCTGCTCAGCCTCCTGTTTGTAACAGCAGACTTTATTGAAAAAGTTGTTACTCATTTTATAGGTGTGCATTATGTTTGTTTATGTATTTATTTATTGCCTGTATGGGTGCTTGAGCTAAGGAATCTCATGCCTGTTGTTGGGCTTGCTCGCTACCATTTATGCTATGCTTTTAGTATTGCTATTAATTGGAGAAGAAGTCTCACAGAACTTCTACCCCAGCTGAGCTTCCAAATTCCAAGTCTTAGTCTGTAATGTAGATAACATTGCAGGTAATTCATATCTTTTCAGTAAAGCTACCTGTATTCATCACCATTTATTTTAAATAAGACTGTCACTGTTTGGATTTCCTGGGAAGTTAGATCTAAGGATGGGCTTTGGTATGTCAGAAGTTTATGAGAGATCAGTGTCTATGGAAAGAGAGGAAGCAAAATTAGGCAGAATGAGAAGTTAGACAGCATCAGCAAAAGCCCATAGACTATCCCCCATAAAAGTTAAAAAAAAAAAAAAACTGGGATAATTTTTGGAGATTTCTCCAGGGAGGAGGACAACGAAAACATATCCTTTTAACTATGCAAAATCCAAAGGTGGGCACCACTTTTAACCCCAGCACTTATTTTTTTAAATTTTTTATTGTAAAGATACTATACAGAGGGTTACAGTTACATGAGCAAGGTAATGAGTACACTTCCTATGGAGCATTGTTATCCCCTCCATTGTTTTCCCCCTACCATCCCTTCCCTCCCTACCTTTCCCGAGGTTCTTTTTTTTTTTAATTGTGATTAAGTGATTACATAATTCCCAAATTTCACAGTATTGTGGAATAATGATGCTTATTTAAAGTCACAAGTTCATTCTAACTTTCCTGGAGCAAATTGTCTATCACGGTCTATAATATATAACGGTGTACACATATACACCATACATGTGATCAGCAGCATGGGGATATTTAGTAGTGGTTGGACCAGATGAGTGGAAGTTCTTTGTTTCTTAAGTGCTGTTAGTTTTGTCGTATCACCTAACATTTTGGATTTAGCATCCACTTATCAGGGAGACTATGTACCGTTTGTCTCTTTGCTCTTGACTTACCTCGCTCAACATGATTCCTTCTAGTTCCATCCATTTCCCTGCAAATGCCATTATTTTGTCATTTCTAATGGCTGCATAATATTCCATTGTGTATAGATACCACAATTTTTGGATCCATTCATCTGTGGTGGGGCATCTGGGTTGTTTTCATATCCTAGCTATTGTGAACAGTGCTGCAATAAACATGCAATAAACATGTCCTTGTATATTGGTTCCTGTTGTTCAGGGTAGATGCCTAGAAGTAGTATGACTGGGTCGTAAGGAAGGTCAATCTTTAGCTTTCTAAGGACCCTCCAGACTGCTTTCTAAAGTGGTTGTATAAGTGTACATTCCCACCAGCAGTGTAATAGGGTTCCTCTTTCTCCACATCCCATCCAGCATTTGTCATTGGCTGATTTGTGGATGTGTAACCCCAGCACTTATGAGGCTCATGCAGGAGAATAATGAGTTTGGAGCCAGTCTGAGCTAACTAATGAGTCCAATTTGAATCACATAGCAAGATAGCAATGGGTATAGGTTATGATAAAGAAGAGTTAATGTCCTTGGATAGGAAGGATCTTTTAACCAAGGCTATTATTCCAAGAGACTGATATGTATTTATTAGCAGCACTATCAGTAATTGGAATAATAAGACCTTCATCCCTGATAATTCTGGGAGGTAAAGCATAGCATCCATTGTGCCCTTTAAACTACTCACACAGCAGCTTAGTGCAGTTCATACTGTTGGCCCCATACTTACTCAAAATCATTACTCAACAGTGGTAATTATTTCCTCACTCTTCAGTGTCATTGGTAATGTAATGATTTTCTCTGACCTGTTTTTCTACTTCTCTTTTACGCTTCACCCCTCTCTTTTCATTCCTGAAATAAGGAACTTCCTTAAATTTTGGTCACCAATCCTTATTTTCTCAAACTCTCTTGTCTCCCTAAATTATTCAATCTATGCTCATGACTTGAATTACCACCTCCAAGCCCTTTATTATCTTACCAAATTCATATGTGGATGATGATGTTCTAAGAGCTTTGTGAATACTAATGTAATTACTCCTAACAGATAGGAAATAATAATTACATACAGATGGAGACACTACCCTTGAGCCAAATAACTTCTAGAAGTCACACAGAGTACAGACATGTACTCTTTTTGTTTTAAATATATTTTTATTGTGAAAATACTGTACAGAGGAGTTAAGATAATGAGCACATTTCATATCAAGCATTGTAGCCTGCTGCTTTGTTTCCCCTTCCCATCCCTTTGTATCCTCCCCCTCTCCCTGTCTCCCCCCCACCAAAGTTGTAAAGTTCGTTTTTCGACATAACGACTTGTACATCTCATTGTTGCAGTGGGTCCTCCTGTATCCCTGTTTTAACAATTTGTTTTTTCCCTTCCCATCCACATATACCAACATCATATATAGTGAAAGCAGGGGTTGTACCATGGGGGAGGGACATACAAGGAACATGTACTCTTTACCTGACTTATGTAACTGTAACCCCTCTGTATACCACCTTTATAATATCAATTAAAGATTTTTTGTAAAAAGTTTATATTTTATGGCCACCATAACATACATACACACACACATAGCTGAGAATTTCAATCTCTAGGACAATTGAAAGATGGCTTCAACTTGCAAGTGTGTAAGGATTTTATACTCTAAATCTAAGTGCCACTAGGAAGGTAAAGGAAATCATTTAATATTTTTCTGTATCACCTTTATACTCAATGTATTAATTCAATTATAAAACCTTGAAAAAAAACGTCGCAAATTAAATATGTGGTAAACGAGAGAAGAGAAATGCTATTGTAAGGTATTACAAATGTTTTGAAGTCACTCTGGATGGAATGTAAAGATTGTTATAAAGCAATAACCAAAAATATTACAAGGAAACAAACACATAAATTTAAAAAATATGTATAAAGTAAAAATGTGATTTTGCAACATCTCAATAAAGAATGGCAAGAGAAAAGCAAATCTATTTTTAATGTAAAACTTATTTCTATAGAATTTAAAAATGAAAACTGTCAAAGTATATATAGGAAAATAGTATCATTTAGTAGTATCTTATTTTATAAGGGATATATCCCAAAATCCTTTCTCTCACCTACTTTCTGGATTCAGGATTTAAACTCAAGACCTTAGGCTCTTGCTTTTACTTTTCACTCACAGCTAATACTCAACCTCTAGAGCCACACCTTAAAACCAGCTTTATGTTTTTGCTAGTTAACTGGAGATAAAATCTCTGTGAGTTTTCTGCCCAGACTAGCCTTAAACCTCAGTCTTTAGAATTCTGCCT